CTGAGCTGCAAAACAAACACAAAAACACAAAAACACACAAAACAAAGAAACATGCACAAACAAAAGTGCAGAAATAAGCTTGGGTTGCCTCTCAAGAAGCGCTATTTTTAACGTCGTGTGCCCGACGCAACCACCTCATCAAAAACTCAGTCAAAGACACTCCCGCTCAGAAAATTAGTCTTCCACAAATCAAACCTCCTATCAACAAATGCCCTGAGATGGCGTAAGACCTTAAATTCATGAAAATAATTGCGCATCTCAAGGCCACTCCTAAAGCACAAGAATGAGTCTAAGCCTTTATCAGGCCCTTTATCAACGAACGAGTCAAATTCAGACTCTTTAAGAGGTGGGGGTTTCCCCTCCTCCTCTCCGGTTGGATCAATGTCATCCAATAAAAAACACTCATTAACATCTTGACAGTACTGTTTGGCCAGTTTGGCCATGCAAAAAGTAACTCTCTCCTCCCCAACTCTCAAAATCAATTTCCCTTCCCCGACATCTATGAGGGCCCGAGCAGTGGCCAGAAAAGGCCTTCCAAGAATTAAGGGCACATCAAGATCTTGGGGCATATCCAAAACAATGAAATCAACGGGAATAACAAACTTATTCACTTTAACCAACACGTCTTCAGCAATCCCCTAGGGATATTTGACCGATCGGTCAGCCAGCTGTATGCACATACGTGTTGGTTTAAGCGGACCGAGTGAAAGCTTCTCATACAAGGTATAGGGCATCAAATTGATGCTTGCACCCAAATCAGCTAAAGCATTATAAAAATCTCACTTCCTATGGAGCAAGGGATAGTGAACTTACCTGGATCCTTGAGATTTTTAGGCATCTCCTTTAGCACCACTGTCGAGCACTCTTCATTCAGCACCACTGATTTCGGTTCTCCCCACTTTCTTTTGTTAGAGAGGAGTTCTTTCATTAACTTGGCGTACTTTGGAATTTGTTGCAGCGCCTCCATGAATGGTACGTTTACTTGAACCTGTTTAAAGACGTTCAAAAACTTGTTGAAGTCCTCAGTGTCACTCTTCCCCTTTAAGCGTTGCGGGTATGGGAGGGGTGGGTTGTAAGCTTTGACTGGAACGGATTGTTTTGGGACTTCGTCCCCCTCCTCCTTCTTTTCTTCTTCCTTCTTCTTCTCAAGAACAACTGCAGTAGGTTCAACGTCTTCAACTTTCTTCTTCATGGCAGCAGGTTCCAGATCCCATCCACTCCTCAGTGTGATTGCGTGAACTTGCTCTCTTGGATTTGGTTCGGTGTTGTGCGGGAGGGATCCCATAGGCCTTTAGATACGACCTTTGTGAGCTGCCCTAACTGAATTTGCATGTCCCGAATACTTGAATGTGATGATTGATCTTTAGCCACAGTTACTTGAATGAATTGCTCTAATGTCACGCCCCGGACCTACCCGGACACGTCAACAACCCGCCGTACAGTGCGAATAGTCAACCGCAGTCCGACTCATCCATACTATACAAGGCGTCTTGAATACCATTCACACATAGTACATCCATAAACAAACATAATGTAAAACATTTATTAAAACAGCGGAAACAATAGATACAAGTGTTCAAGCCACACTTGGCATAATTAGGCATGCAAGCCCCCAAAATAATTATTCAGAAAATATTATCCATGAGCATTATTCATATTGTTTTTTCAAAACAAGAACGGGAGAAGCACGAACCAAGTCTTCTCCTCAGAAACTTCCCGAAGCAGCGGCTGGTGGTAGCAACCTTCAAGTTCTACCTGAAACTGTGAGGTGGCCTCCCCCGTGAAGGGGAGGTCAGTACTTGGAAGCATTTGACAAGTACAATGACAACTATACTAAGTATAATCAAAGTTTAAACCTCTGAGGCCCTCAACTAGGGCATTATTACATTATAGTTAATCCGTTCATTTAATATCAATTCATCATTATTTGTCACGGTCTAGAGCCCAGCTCATAATCACCGTTATCTACTACGGTCTAGAGCCCAGCTCATAATCACTGTCATCTACTACGGTCTAGAGCCCAGCTCATAATCACCGTCATCTACTACGGTCTAGAGCCCAACTCATAATCACCGTCATCTACTACGGTCTAGAGCCCAGCTCATAATCATCGTCATCTACTACGGTCTAGAGCCCAGCTCATAATCACCGTCATCTACATCGGTCTTGAGCCCGGCTCATAATCACCGATTCCTTATAAATTCAAATTCTTAGGATCTAATTCATCCATTTCTCAACTAACATTTCCAACTAATATTTCAATGCTTAGTTATTTATTTATTTCAATATAATTCCTTCTTCTTGCATAATTGGCCTTAATATCAAATATCACTTTCATACCTTCATGGCTTCTCCTCATGGCATCAAAGTATACTATCCCAAATGATATTCATGGTTGGTACAACCATCATACACACATATTCATAACATCTAAACATACACAATTTATTCATAAATTTGTGTATCATGCATACTATACTTTTAATCAATAGTAGTTCTATTTATACATTATTAACCATCAACAATTCATGCACATCACATTTATATTCACTTAGGAAATCCCATGAAATTAACCCAAAGATTATAAGTATCATAGTCGGTCATCCTCACCTTAATTAAGCTTAAGCGCGTTCTACGTTTCTTGATTGAACTTTGACCAACTCCGGCGACTTTGACCAACTCCGGCGAACTTTGACCAACTCCGACGAAACTCCGGCGAAGCTCAAAAATACTTTAAATCAAGTTCCTAACAAGGTTTTATCATCACAAAACCCATATCAACACAAATAACCTATAAAAGGTTATTTTCCGGCAAACCGGTCGATTTGGCTTCTAAGTCCGTTTTTGGACTTAGAATCACTTTCCAACCCATCATTCCACACTTAAATCATGTAGAACAATACTAAAGGTCTTTTATATGATATATACCTTATATGATAGAAGAAAAACAAAGGAAAAGTTATGATAAGGTCATTACCTTAATTTTCACACTTTTTCCTAGCTTTTTCCTCCTTAAACTTTCTTCTTGGACTCCCTTTAGCTTGAGTTCGAATTTGGGCTATGGAGATGAAGTTTGCAGAGCTCTTCTCTCCTTCTTGGTGTATTTGGGTCGAAATGATGAGTGTAAGGAGGTAGAGGTGGTTCCTTCTTGTCTCCTTTAGACAATGAGTGAAGGAAGGGGACCTACTACATGTCAAAGGTGTCTCCCCCATCCTCTCAATTGTTGCTCAGCCAATTTGGCACTCATCCAGCCCTCAAGGGTTGACAATTTCGTGGGGTGGCCCCCACCCATGTGGGAGGTCATCCCAATTTGTCCCAAAGTGTGCAATTTGCCCCGAAAGTTGTATTTTTCGGACTGTTTTAAGTATATTTTATTTTATCGGGTCAAATAAAATATAACACTTGTTCTCAATTCTTAATGGGCCTTAGAATCAATATGCATCCCTCAACTTTAATTTAGAAGTCTCCGAAATCCCTTTTCGGGCTGTTATCTGATAGATTGCCGATACTGATAATTTGGCCCCGTTTGACCAACCGGTCAACCCTATGCCATTGTCATGGCTCAAATAGGATATCCACCACCATATACATATTGTCTAGTCCAAGATCAATATAATATGTGGCCCCGATAATATCGGGCGGTCCCCACTCCCGATGTGGGCCCCACGTGCATTTTACTATTCACGCGAAAAAATTAATACAAATTCACAACTTCGTAAATTCACTAAATATTTTCATAGGATCCAATAAATTATTAGCTTAAAGATAAATACATTTGGGGACGGTGTTACATCTAATGTCTTCTCCAAGCTAGAAAGTTTATGCTCAGTCTCATTCCTTTATGGCTGGAAGTGTTGTGCTTGCGGTTGAGATTGGGGATGATTATAGTTCCTGAACTGCTGCTGCTGGCCGTAGGGCTGATTGTAGTAGCCCTACATCTGAAAGTACATCGCGTCAACTTGCTCTACTACGGGGGCTGGCGAGTGTGCCATCATATTGCATTCATGCGGCCAATGGAGTCCCCCACAATTAGTACAACAAGGACTAATAGGACCAGAGGCTACAAGTTCACATTGGACATCGAGAGAGCAAGTTCCATCTTCATTCTCATATCCTCCACGCTAGTAGTGAACTTTTGAAACATGTTGGTCAACGTATCTACCCTTGCAGAAAGGGCAAAATTATCACTGATCTCGTACAAGCCCGAAGCCTTTTGGTGAAGTGTGTCTCGAGAGCTGTATCATGATGCATTATTCGAAACAATCTTCTCCACTAGTTCTTCCCCCACCTCAGATGGTAAGTGAGGAAAAGCTCCCCCACCCGAAGCATCCAGCATCATCTTCCCTTCATTGTTGAGTCCGCTATAGAAAAAAAATCATTAACGAGACGAAGGGTGGGCTATTTGTGGATCCATCTGTGTTGCAAACCAGACTTCATTTTTTCAGAGCTCTAAGCTGCTAACGTTTTTCCTCTGTAGGAAGTTGCCCTGTTTGTTTGAGGCAAACGTCGTTTAAAGGAAACGTTAGTGGGTGGCTGCAAAGCTACGAATAAGGTTGAATCTGTGTCAAATTTGATCTACTAAAAACCTTAGTGTCATTTTTTGCCCTTCTCCCTATTGAATTGATACAGTAAGAATAAAGTAAGAATGATTTAGAGACACACAAACTTTACCAAATTTGGTATGAGACGATCTTAGTGGTATGGACCAATAAGGTAAAACGGGACAATCATAGCGAGACGAAGGTAGTATATCCGAACTTTTTAATACACACATTTCTCTATAGAACAATTTAATATTTTACCAGTATTTATTGCGCAGACACGCAGTATTTATTACCTCCATCCCACTAACATTGGGACAAGAGACGATGACACGGTTATTGATATTAAAAATGATTTAGAGACACACAAACTTTAACAAATCTGGTATGAGATAATTTTAGTGAGATTTCACAAAAAAAAAATTATGAGATAATTTTAAAGAGGTATTCAAATTAGACACGACTTACCAAAAAAACCAAACATTATCAAAATCTACGAAATTAGCCTAGCTATTGCCTCCCACTACACTGAGATACTGGAAATTTCCATTTCTTTTTCACCCTTCCTCCTACTGGAAATTTCCAGTCACCGGAGAGCAGTTCAATTCCACTACACTAGTACAACCCACTTTGGAAAAGTAGAAGATAGTAGTGTGAACACCTTGCCTATCATATTTCTTACGCGTGATTTGGAACATGCTACTCTATAAAAACATGCTTTGTACATCCTCAGTCCGAGATATAAAAGAAAAAAGGGGCGACAGAGATTCAATCCATGGCAGCCAATTCAGGGTTCAGTCCGTCCATTGATGAAGAAAGGTGGGTGAGCCTAGGTAGCAGAGCCTTACAGTCAGAACTCATCTTAGAAATCGATGGCTTTTCTCCAACAATCTTTCAAGTCCCCAAGTCCGTCAGCGAAACCAAGCCAGAAGCCTACACCCCTCTGCTACTCGGCATGGGACCGTACCATCATCTCCGGCCCGACCTCCACGCCGCAAACCTCCAGAAGCTCGTCGCCCTCAACAAATTTCTTGGAAAAAACCCATCCAATAACTTCTCCAAACACATCCTCAAAAAGATGAGGGGTTTGGAGCTGCTGGTTCGGGCCAGCTACGACCAGTACGTGGATCTGGATTGCTCCACCCTAGACTACATCCTCGCCGTTGATTCTTTCTATCTGCTCGTTATTTTGGGTATGTACGGGGAGGAAACTCCAACTCTCGAACCCGGTTGCCAAGAGCTTGCCAAGGATATCTTGAAGTTGGAGAATCAAATCCCTGCATGTGTGGTAGAAGAGATGGGGAATCAGCTCGGTTTGTTCCTAACTAAATTTGTCTTATATCATACTAGTATTTGTTACTTCATATTTGTTACTCTTCTCTACTATTTGAAGGTTCTCGTAAGTAAATGACACAATTTTTAGATAGTTAGTTAAGTAAAGTAATTTGGATAAAAAAAGAAAAGAGAAAATTTTGAATATGTAAACAAGTGAAAGTAATTAAATAAAGATAATTTGGAGGAGGGAAAATTGCGAGACTTGACGTGTAATGAGTAGGAAAACAAATTTAAGTATAGGTATAATTAAATAGAATAATTTATTTCCTAAAATGAAATGAGTATTTTTTAATGAGATATCCAAATAAAGAAAGTGAGAAACTAGGTTACCAAGGTTGTTGCTAAACTGAGCCTAGATAATATTTACATTTGGAGGAAGGGAGAGGTTCTACCAAGGGAGTTCTGGGGGCTATTATTTTGGACGGGTCGTCGCTTCCTTACTTAATCAATTTGTTTTTTGCCTCTTTTTGGGGCTTCATTGGATCAAAAATGATGTCTGTACACACTCGTATACACACTTTTATACACACCTATGTTTGTGAAAGCTTTTTTTTGTCTGTGAACATCGATTCACAAACACTGTTTTGCACAAACAAAATATAGTAGTAGTAGTAGTAGTAGTAGTAGTAGTAGTAGTAGTAGTAGTGGTAGTGGTAGTGGTAGTGGTAGTGGTAGTGGTAGTGGTGTGGTGTGGTGTGGTGTGGTGGTGTGGTGGTGGTGGTGGTGGTGGTGGTGGTGGTGGTGGTGGTGGTGGTGGTGGTGGTGGTGGTGGTGGTGGTGGTGGTGGTGGTGGTGGTGGTGGTGGTGGTGGTGGTGGTGGTGGTGGTGGTGGTGGTGGTGGTGGTGGTGGTGGTGGTGGTGGTGGTGGTGGTGGTGGTGGTGGTGGTGGTGGTGGTGGTGGTGGTGGTGGTGGTGGTGGTGGTGGTGGTGGTGGTGGTGGTGGTGGTGGTGGTGGTGGTGGTGGTGGTGGTGGTGGTGGTGGTGGTGGTGGTGGTGGTGGTGGTGGTGGTGGTGGTGGTGGTGGTGGTGGTGGTGGTGGTGGTGGTGGTGGTGGTGGTGGTGGTGGTGGTGGTGGTGGTGGTGGTGGTGGTGGTGGTGGTGGTGGTGGTGGTGGTGGTGGTGGTGGTGGTGGTGGTGGTGGTGGTGGTGGTGGTGGTGGTGGTGGTGGTGGTGGTGGTGGTGGTGGTGGTGGTGGTGGTGGTGGTGGTGGTGGTGGTGGTGGTGGTGGTGGTGGTGGTGGTGGTGGTGGTGGTGGTGGTGGTGGTGGTGGTGGTGGTGGTGGTGGTGGTGGTGGTGGTGGTGGTGGTGGTGGTGGTGGTGGTGGTGGTGGTGGTGGTGGTGGTGGTGGTGGTGGTGGTGGTGGTGGTGGTGGTGGTGGTGGTGGTGGTGGTGGTGGTGGTGGTGGTGGTGGTGGTGGTGGTGGTGGTGGTGGTGGTGGTGGTGGTGGTGGTGGTGGTGGTGGTGGTGGTGGTGGTGGTGGTGGTGGTGGTGGTGGTGGTGGTGGTGGTGGTGGTGGTGGTGGTGGTGGTGGTGGTGGTGGTGGTGGTGGTGGTGGTGGTGGTGGTGGTGGTGGTGGTGGTGGTGGTGGTGGTGGTGGTGGTGGTGGTGGTGGTGGTGGTGGTGGTGGTGGTGGTGGTGGTGGTGGTGGTGGTGGTGGTGGTGGTGGTGGTGCCACTACCACTACCACTACCACTACGACTACTACCACTACGACTACTACCACTACGACTACTACCACTACGACTACTACCACTACGACTACTAGTAGTAGTAGTACTACCACTACTACTACCACTACTACCACTACGACTACTACCACTACGACTACTACCACTACGACTACTACCACTACGACTACTACCACTACGACTACTACCACTACGACTACTAGTAGTAGTAGTAGACTAATAATGGCTTATGACGGAGTTGTGTTATATACTCCACTGTTTTTAGTTACTAGAATAAGTGTTCACACAATATTTAAAGGAAGAATACTAAAAAAATAAAGGAATAGAAAGGTTTGTAGACTTGAACGCGGAGAAGGGTAAGAACCGTAATCGTTTCCCCTCTTCTCTTCTTCTCAATTTTTTTTTCCTTCTAAATATGAATAAATATCTCTTTAGTCAGTATTTCCAAGTTATCAAAATTTAACACCATTGACTTGTAAAGTCAATGATGACTAACTAAAAGGGGACAAAGTAGAAGTGGCATCATTTAAGTGTGCCTCAATGATGACTTGTAAATTTTACAACCCCTACTGTGTGGCCCAAATTAGGCAATATATTTAAGTGGGACAACTCATTTAAATGTGGCCTCATTTAAACCACACAAAGTGTGAGGTAAAAATGGAGTACCCCAAAATGGGGTATCTATAGCACAACTCAAAAAGTTACTCGGTACTACCTACACCACATATCACTTTACTACGGAGTATATTACGGAGTACTATAGGGTAGTATGGTATGTAGCGGTGTTTGGATCTGATTCTTAAAACTACTTTTGTTCTTTCAGGGAGTAGAAGCAGAAGTTGGAGTGTTTGTGTGAAAGTGCAGAAGTACTTTTGATGGTCTAATTTACTGCTAGAATCAGTGTTTTTAGAAGTTGGGAGAGATCAGCTTCTGAAAACTGATTCTGTTTCTACTTTAAAAAAGAAGTAGAAGCAGAATCAGTTCCAAACACCCTCGTAGTAATGGACATTTAGAGCTTGTTTGGTAAAATTGAAATCGCTGAATCGATCGATTCTGCTGAAATTTATTAAATTCTGGCTGAAGTGGCTGAAGTGCCTGATTATGTTGATTTATGAAAAAATAATATTTAAAATATATTTTATTAAAAGAGTAAAGAAAAAATTATATGAAAAATAGCTAAAATGGTCATCTACAGTAACTTCAGCCAATACAGCCAGAAAAGAAACTTCAATTTTACTTTTTCTTATTATTACACAATTCAACGTGTCAAATCAAAAGTTGTATGTTTGTTAAAAAGTTGGTTGATAAGCCTAACAAGCCGAAAAACAGAGTTACCAAACAGGCTCTTATACTCCCGGCTAGGGGTCAGCATAACGGTTTGGTATAACCGAACAGTACCAAACCGAATCGAAACCGGACCGTATAGAATTTAATTTGAGTTTGGTACTATTTCTTCCAAACCGTATTAAACAGAACTGAACCGAAATCGATAAAAATCAAACAAAACCGAACCAAACTAAAGAAATTTTAAAAAACCTTCATATATTATTTAAAATTAACAAATCCAAACCGAACCAAACCAAACCAAAAAAACAGTATGGTTTTTGTTTGGTAATAATGTTGGAAAAATGTGTTAAAAAATTGCATTAAATGGTCATTTTGGGGCAATTATTTGAGTGGCGTCCACTTCCGATTTGGGTCGGGTCAAAGTGGTTTCGGATTGTCCTTGTAAAGGGCTACAATTCGATATATGGTACGCTCAAAACGGATAACGGGTGAATGAGAAATTGATTCTCGAAGTTCGCTCGTTGTAATGGAAAAGCTGGGAAAATGATGAGTTTCTAGTGTGTTTTATCCCACACCGAAAAACTCAAGGGATTTTCACCCCCTTTTAAAGGGAAGCCTCTTTTAAGGAGTTAAGATTCCTAAAGGGAAAGGCTCTCTCTTACGCGCAGGGGGGGGTGCCGATCAAATCCCGAAACGGAGAAGAAAAACCGCGACTCGTGTGCGCGGGCGACCTGCGGACACGAATGCCGTCCAAGGGAGTTCTGTTGGCTTCGAACAGAAACCCTCCAAGGGAGTTCTGTTGGCTTCGGACAGAAGGCCTCGAACAGAAACCCTCCAAGGGGGTTCTGTTGGCTTCGAACAGAAACCCTCCAAGGGGAGTTCTGTTGGCTACGGACAGAACCCCTCCGAGGGGTGTTCTGTTGGCTTCGGACAGAACCCCTCCAAGGGGTGTTCTGTTGGGGTCTTCTGTCACGCATTTCTTCCGTTACAACTATTAATGTCCAACGTTCTTCTCTTTTAATGCAGCGTTAAATGGACAGTTTATGGACGATTCAATGCCCAACGGACTGGTCATTGATGTCCAACGTTCAGGTCCATTAACACCCCATTTAACTCACAACAAATCCTCCTATAAATAGCTGGCAGGTGCTTTGCAACAGACACACGGTTTGACAACGCACATCACTTTCCTCACGTTTTCTTGAGCTAAAAACTCTTCCAGCTACTCCCAAAATCCTTCTGTGTTCATACTTGGTTCTCGTTCGCTGGAACTCTTGTTTGTGTGCTCAAACATTAGTTCGTAGTCATCGTATCCTGGGAAACGATTGTTGCAACGCTCCTAGCACCGTGGGAGGCAACAAATACGTTTTAAGGAAATCGTGCGTAGCACGAGCTTTGGCTAATTCTGCTTCATCTCCTTTCTTGTTTTTCCTCTAGTCATTTTATTTAATTAATTTACTTTAATTAATTTTCTTTATTTTCCGAAACACACCCAACAAATAATTCTTTCATCAACCCGTTCCAAACCGAAACCGATAAAACCCGAACCAAAAACCGATATGCCCAGCGCTACTCCCTGCTTCTTTACTCAACTATTGTTCTTAAATTCAGTAGACAGTAGTCGGAGGGTTGAGGGGTCTAAAAGCGCATAGCGCCTAGGCACCAACTAGGCGGCGACTATGTCAATTGTTAGGCCCATTAGTCTTCTACAATTAAGATCGCCTAGCACTATGGGTCATCCAGAAACAGTCTCTTTGTGCTTTAGTATAGGGGTAAGACTGCGTACATCCGACCCCCCCCCCTTACCCCACCGTAGGTGGGAGCCTTTGCGACACTGGGGTAAATGAAAATGAAATTAAGATCGTCTAGCGCCTAGGTGCCGATTAATAAGACCGACTAAGTCAATTTTTAAGATAATGTGTTTAACAAATGTACAAGTCAAAGAGTTACAATTAATAAACAAGTTAGATTAGCGTACATTAGTGTATTTCATTGGTTTACAATTTGACTAGACATTCAGAAAAGATTTGAGTTAACAAAACAATTGATGCTTATTATTACTCGCAACTAATGTCAATTTGATACAAAGTTAATGTTTGTCACATACGTTGATCTTGTGCATACCACTTAGGTATGTGTACAAAATATATATGCATGGATGCCTTTAAATTGCTAGGCACCTTTAAGCAACATGCATATTTTCTTCATGCGGACTAAGGTTGCATGTAGGCACACAAATAAATGTATGTTAGAAATTGCATATTTGCCAACTGTTAGAAATATAAAAAATGGAAGTAATAAGTTTAAACTAATTAGTTTGAATGAAGCAATTAAAAATATTTTGCATTGATTGATTTTTATCTTCTCATTTTTCTTTTCCCAACCTTGCACTAGGTTATGCCTTCATTTTAATTAATTAAATACTAATATATTCGTAGTATAAGAATTTATTATGATGGACTTATATAGCTTGATCTTGGTTGAGTGTGGCCCCTCCAACATTAAAGTTCCGATTTTACTAGTGCAGGAAGGCGTTACAAATCACAACAAAGAGGCCCCATATTGAGTTATTGACCACCGTCGGCTTAGAATTATCCGTTGAGTGGTCAAGAAGTCATATTGCTCGTAAAGGGGTCGATTGACTCTTTGTAGTAGGGGTGGATTTGGTTCGGGCTACCCGGCCCATGACCCGGCCCGGCCCGCTACTGTGCGGGCCCGGAATCGGCCCGGTCTGACGGTCCGGGACCGGGTGTAGACCCGAACCGGGGGGCAGCGGGGGGCGGGCTCGGTTCCTGCTAAACGTGACCCGGCCCGGCCGGGTCCGGCTCGGGTCCGGGTCACAACAACTAAATTTAAAAAAAACATTTGGGCCAAAAGAGCCGTTGGGGGTGGGCTGGGGACTACCCAAACGGTTATATAGCCGTTGGGTGGGCTGGCAGGGGAGTTCGGGCAGTTTGGGGGTGGGGGTAGGGTGGGGGTGGGGTAAAAAAAACCATAAATACTCTTAATCTTAAACATTTTTCCATCTCTTCTCGAACTCTTCCTAAATCCTATTCTCTACTCTCTAATTAATTATCTTCATCTTCATTTTCTCAAATTCTCTTATTCTCCAATATATTATATATCTACTTATATTATTTTTCTTCTTATAAATACATATATTATATTACTTATATTTCTTATCTACTTATATATTATTATCTATTTATAAATACTTAAGTACGTTTTGTCAATTCATCTTCACGACAAACGAGCTATGTTTGAAATAGCTAGGTTAATTGGCAATCCCCTCAAACTTGATATTGCTACTACTACGTTGGCGAGACCTTCCTTGGCTAGAGTTTGAGTGGAATTAGACTTAACAAAAGAAATGCCAAACAAGGTTTGGATTCAATCAGGGAAAACTGGTTTTTCCCAGTCTATTGTTTATGAAAACAGACCCAGGTATTGTCTATCTTGCCTACATTTGGGACATGAGGCAGGTTTATGTCCCAAAAGGTTGATGGAGGGAGTTATTAAGGCTAATGCAGTTACTTCTCAAGCTAAAGGCCCAGTTTGGGTCTCAAAAAATACAGGAAAAGAAGGCATTCCAGAAAAGATTAATAATGGCCATATTACAACGGGGATTCTTGAATCTAAAAATATAATGGGAGGTACTAATGTAGATAAGGGCAAATCTATAGTGGTCTTCCAGCCACAAGCTCCTTCTCAGCAGTTGCAATCCACTTCTAGAGGCCAGGAAACTACTCCAGAATCAAAATCAGACATAGAAGAGGTCTATCATGAGCAACCACCTGCATCAAACAGCAATCTACTCAGTTCAGATAAAACAAACATCAGTACACCATGTGATAACAATAACTCTGCCAACAATGAACTAAATGGGCTCACCACATCCAGGCCTTGTGGGGTTATTATTGATGACTGCTCCCTTGTCAACCAGGACAAAGAATCTAAATTTGATCTAGAACTTGCATCCAAAGAGTACAGGTCCGATTCAGAAGTTCCTCACAAAAAAGAGAGAAAAGATGAGTGGTTAGTGGCTTTACCTAATCTTTCTATTAAGGTTAGAAATCTGATTAACTCTAGTAAGAGGAAGGAAGAATCTGAATTGTTGTCAGAATTAACCAAGGTTGAAGACAAAACTAAGGAAGGAAATGAAGAAGAGGGGGAATTTATTATGGTTGAAAGAAGAAGAAGGAAGAAGAATGTTGCAAAGGCAACCTCCTCAAAGGGAGTGGTTACCAGAAGTGTTGCAAGGAGGCAATCACATACTATTCCCCCAGATTCTCAATGAATGGTATTATTTGGAATTTGAGAGGTCTGGCTGCCTCCGGACCAAGACTGTCTCATTTAATTCAAAAATGGAGGATACATTTTCTGGTAGCTATTGAGCCTTTGGTGGATGCTAAAAAATCTGAAAGTTTCAAAATGGAGTTTGGTTTCACACATGTCCTTACTAGTAATAATGACAAAATTTGGATTTTTTGGGATGCCAATTTCATCTGTTTATCAGATTTTAACTGGTTGACTCAGTGTGTTCATTTTAAGTTTGTTAGTGCAAACATTACTGGTTGGATAACAGCTGTTTATGCTAAACACACCTATTTGGAGAGAAGAGGTCTTTGGGATCAGTTAAACTAGTTTGCTAATCATATTCAGGGACCTTGGTTAGTTGGTGGAGATTTTAATACCATTATGACTAATGCTGAACATAAAGGTGAATCTATTCCTAATTTGACAGGTATGCAAGAATTCAAGGAAAGTGTTTCCCAATGTAATCTGATTGATATACCTTATTCTGGCAACCAATATACATGGACAGGTGTTAGAAGTAGAGGAAGACTATGGAGAAGGTTGGATAGATGCCTTTTTAATGAAAATTTTCTGGATTCTTATGACCAAATTAAGGTGACTAACCTTAATCAATCTCCCTCTGATCACTGTCCTATGCTCATTCAGTGTAATAATCAATATCAGTCTGGGCCTAAATCTTTTAGATTCCAGAATATGTGGTTATCTCATAGCACTTTTCTAGATACTGTTTCT